ATCCTGTGGTTTTAGAGTTGCTGCTATTGAGCATTCAGTAGTTCCTAGTATAATCTCCTATAACTATGTTCAGCATCCGTGAGTCATGTGACTAAATTGTTGTCAGCTCAACTAATAGTGGATATGGTGACTAATAAGAAAGGTGTCCCTATTTTCATCAGTGTTAAGAATATATGAAACAAAATATTGCCTTCTGCAACTTCCTTGGCTGAATCAGCCTATAGTTCCTCTCATTTTTAATTGAAAATTGACAGAATGTTAACTTTAGGTGAGTAAACTCTTTAATTGATTCATAATTGCTATTAATGTTGACAATGAAAGAAATTCTATTTGAATATGTAATATTGAGATATATGTATGTGACAACCTTGATAGTTATTCTTTGTTTATCTGAACATATAAAAACATTTTAAGCACAAGCATTGCATTAACAGTACCGAAAATGTTCCTATTATTGGATTTATATTTACTCTTTATTTATTAGTTGGATGGGTTCTTGTAAATACATCACTTGGAAGTATTCATTATTCTTGAGAATATGTTTGTTGTAGATACTTCTATTCTTAATATGCAATACTGGTCACTGCTTTTTAAAAGCTTCATTTAGTAATATAAATATTGTAAAAATGATTTAAGCTGTTTCATATTTACTTTAATTTTGTAATGACCTTTTCAATATATTTATCAATGGTAGGGAGAACGGAATATTAGTTTCTTAATAGATAAATCAGATTTTGGATTATATTTCTCCAAATTTAAAGTTCTCTGGGTAGATAAATTTGCAAGTCAGTAAATGTGCAGTTTACTTTCTTATGTCTGTGTTATATGAAAACCAAAAACATAATTCAATAACAGATTTGATTCATCGTGAAATTATGGACATGAAAGATACAGTGCCATAGCAATGTGATATGATAGAAGGGTTCAGTAGAAATATACGAGGAAGCCTGCTATTCTGATGATACTTTGTTGATCAAATATACAGCAATAAAATTACTGTGTTTGAGATGTTTAATATTGTTTGTGTTTAAGTTTAGTATTGTATTTTATATGCAGTAGAATTTTTGGGATGTATGTCTATACATTTTTTTAAATGGTGCTAA